ACTTGCAAATACAACTTTAAACTCAAAAGAACCTTCAACATTCAACTACTTCAAGTGTTTCTCTAGATTGTTTGCATACCAAATTGCTTACCTACAAAGCTAAGTCTCCCCCTTTTATATAGTGGAGGAAGGGAGGATAAAAACCAATGGGTAAAAACTTTATCCAACTTTTTTATACAATCCAATGGGTAAAGCCAAACCACCTACATAATAACTAAATTCAGATATTAAATTTGTCCTATTAGATCTTGAAATCTGCAGGAGATGGGCTGCCAAAAAGGGAAGAAGTGACCTCAAAAGATTCTCGTTCTATTCTCAAGAGTGCCACTGGATCATCCTGCAGCACATGATGTAGCATGCTTCAGCCAAGTACCTAATTACAAAGTTATTTTCCCAAAAATCAGCACATATCCAAGAAGTAAATATGTTTATCACATCACTTTAGCTCCAAAATAAAAAGATATAAAAACAAAACAAAAAGACTCAATTTATGGAATTTTGGGAAAATAAAATAGGTAAATAAAGTGAAGAAAAAGTGTAAAAGTATCAAATAAATTGATACTTATCACATATCTACACATCATTATACAAATTATATAATGCTCAAAAATAAACTTTTATCTAGGTATGCATCTAGTAAAATCTCATAAAGACTCATATGTCTGTACAAATTAACTAACTGATACCTCTCGTCTAAAGATCTATACATTCATATCACCATATGCAATTAATAACTTAATTATTCTTCAAAAATCAATTTGCAGTCCACCTTTTTATAATTAATAGACTCTTTACTTTGTCTTAAAWTGTCTCGATAAATTATTAATCTCCAATTACGACACTTAAATCTTATTATCAAAATTACCTAAATAAAAAGTGATATATTATAACCATCCTTTTAGAAATCAATAACCAAAATACAAAGTCTCAAGTGTAGACTATTTCGGTAGCTAAAAACAATTTTCTTAATTATAGGGATATTTTGGTAACTTCATAAGCTCAAGTAATTAAAACCAGATCAAAATTACRTTTTATAAGTCCAAGGATTTTATTRAAATTTCCAGAAAAATTATTGTTGTTGAAATCGAATTTTCAGAACTCCAAGGGACATAGAGCAATTATTGAGCATTACTCYCTATGTCCCAAAATAAGTGTTGYAYATTATTWTTTAGTTTGTCTTAAAACAAGTGTTCACTTTCAAATAAATGCTTAGGTGACGTTTGTTTWTTAARAGGTGCTGAAGTCTRAMGTCTGATTTCACTTCTGATTTTTAAGAGGTGGTGAAGTYTGAAATCTGAATCAGTCAAACTGTTTGTTTTTGTAAACTGACAAACGTCTGAAGTCTGAATCAATAGTTTGCTTTTGTAACCAACAAAACATATCAATATGTATAATTTATGATTTCACTTCTGTTTGTGTTCCCAAGATTCCCTTAATTYTTCCTTCTCCACCAGATCAAGCCTTCCATCCTCAATCTCCACCCTCAKCCCATCACCATCAACCATCGTCCACCACCACTCCTTCTCTRAAATCCAAYGTCCAAATCCACCTCTAAAATCGAAGCAAATATCCATCATGATGAAAACTACAATGACGAAAACTACAGGGACGAAAATACCTTGATTCACGAGGATAAAGGTGCACAACTACTAGTTTGCAYAGGAACGAAAACACACAGTGRYGAAAACCGACAGGGAAGAAAACCCTCTTGATTTGGATCTGATTTGGGTCGATTTGAAGCCACCAGAGACGATGGAGARTGAACTTGATCGATTGAGACRATGAGGAGGGTGAAGTCGATTGATGGAGGGTGAAGTCGATCGAATGATGAAGTAGAAATCGGTTCTCTAGATAATTTTCAGGATTAAGAGGAAAATAAGTGGCTAGGCTATCACTTAATTTTTAAGAGGAAAATAAGGAATAAGTGGCTCTGAAAGAAAAAGAAAAACCAACGGTCTGAATTGCCTTATGTCTGACGGAATCAGACATAAGTGGTAAAATAAGAGCTTTAAAAAAACAAACACCACCAATTATGTGATGAATAAAATTTCTCTCTATAATCAAGGGTAGARCTGTAATTTTCTTACACATTCTTAAAATATGTGACTTTTTCATAGGAGTATAATTATATGATAATAAGAATAATAAAATTTCGGTGCATTTGAAAGAACAAAGAATTTGATGAGATTGGTGGTAAGATGTTTGCTCCTTCAAATGGGAGGTCGTGGGTTCAAATCCAACTYCTTGAAACTTCTTTAAAATAGTAACAAAGTTTAAAGGTGTTGGGTTCGAACCTACGACCTCCTGTTTGAATGAGCAACATTTACCAACAATCTAATAAGATTCTCTGTTCTTTTAATGCAACTTTTTCTCTGTCTTAGGATACAGAAAGAGGTGAAAGTAAGAGGTAGAGTGACAAAGAGCTTGTTTCCTGTTAGATCTCCRGCTTGGGAAAAAGTTTTAGGAAGATTGCCATATATTTGTCAATGCAACATAACTGGGAAGGGTTCAAACAGTCRACTTATTGGGAAAAAGGAGGAAGATCACTTTGATCTCTTGTTTCGGAGAAATCAGTGGCTCACGAGGAATATAAAGGAACATATTCTATTTGATCTCGAAGTCCTCATATAACACTTCTTCCAATCTTGGATGGGGGATCACTTGTAGGAATGACATAATGCTAATCCATGTTCCACACGGCCAAGGAAGCATCGGTTTTTAATCTCATTATGACTTGGTCGTTCAGAAGAGATTCTTTCTCGATCAGAATAGTGGAATGGAAGGCACTACAAGAAAGATATACTCCTTTTCAAATCGCCCTGCAAAGATGGACGTTCAAATAGGTTCTCGAGATTCTCAATCGCTCTTYTTTTAGTGGGGAGGAATAGTACGGGAAGGGAGCGAGAGCAAGCCCAAGAGCAGTTTGCTGAGCACCCTCTTACAGTTACAGTAGTTGTAGTTCATCACCCGTGATATTAAATCAGAGACGACGTGATCTTTGTCCCGCGACCAAGTCATCCGCACACTACCAAGTCCCCTCATGTGTAGGCATGTGAATGGGCCACTACTCATCGGGGAACTAGGTCACCGGCCCTGTCGGGGATGGGGATTCCCCGCTAAACCCGGGATAGGGTTCCCGTTTGTCTTAAACCGGGATGGGGCCAAGGATGGGTATCACATAATTTCAACTAAATCTCATAATTTCCTATTTCCCAACTATGTTTAGAATTAGAATTGTTTTTTTTTTTTGGATGTTAGTATGTAATATTTTGGATGTTAAAGTTAAAATACAATTAYTCGATATGTTTTGGTACGTGTGAAGTTAAGTTTATTTGGATAAATTGAGTTTCTTTTGGTTTTARGTTATTGATTATTATATGATGTGATGTTTTTGTGTCAAACTTAGGTGACGTTGGTTATCAAAATATTTTTAGATAAAATGGAATTTGTTAAAGAAATTTGACTTTGAAAGAATTTGAATGAAATGTTGACATGTTTGACCACCTGTTTGAATGACAGACATTGTAATGAAATCTCTTAAGAAATTGGAATTTCTCTGTTTGGCTCACAGAATGTAGCTTTGAAATTGGAATGAAATATTGGTAAATGACAAAAATGCCCTTTTTCGGAAATTTTAATTTTTCTAAAATTAAAAATACTTTAATAAAATAATTATTTAATATGTAAAACAATATAAAATACACAACCCAAATATAACCATAAGCCAAACGGCGTTACTAAATCGATGGTGGTCGGCGGTGGTTCAGATCGGTAATGGTTGACGGTGGTTCAGATCGGTAATGGTTGGCGGTGGTCGAGAGTGCTTCAGATCGATGGTGGTCCACAATGGTTCAGATGGAGGTGGTCATCGGTGGTTCAGATGGATAGTGATTCAGATTGGTTGTGGCGGCGGCAATTCAGATTGGTGGTTGTTCAAATCATTGGTGGTCGGCGGTGATTCAGATCGATGGTAGTCGTCGGGGGTCGGCAGTGGTTCAAATTGGTGGTGGTGGTCGGATGCAGTTTAGATCGCCGGTGGTTCAGATCGGGGGTGGTTCARAATCAGCGGTGGCCGACGGTGATTCAGATCGTAGTAGTTGGCAGTGGTTCCATCGATGGTGGTCCGTGGTGGTTCAGATAGTGATGGTCGACAGTGGTTCAGATCAGTGGTGGTTCATGGTGGTTTAGATGACGGTTATTGGCGGTGGTTCATATCGGCGGTGGATCAGATCGGTGGTGCCTGACGGTGGTTCATATCGATAGTGGTTCAAATCAACGGTTGTGGTTCAGATCGGTGGTGGTCAGCTGTGTTCAGATTGGTGGCGGTCGACGGTGGTTCAGATGGCGGTGGTCAGCAGTGATTTAGATCGACAGTCGTTAGAGGTGATCGACAATGGTCATATTGAGTTTTATAAGATTAGGATATATTGGGCTAAGAGCATGTTTGATATTATGAAAATAGAGAATTTGATTCCATCAAAATACCATGTAGTTGCTAAGGAATGTTAAATTCATTTATTTGTGGAATTTGTATGATTTTGAAGATACATTTCGTGAAAAAGAATAAATCAAACGRTAKAATGAAATTTGGTSRATGRAATTCAACATTTCAATTTCATCAAATTYCTTCGRAATMTGCAAAMSAAACATCCCACTAAATTTCTTTTGATTTTGGATTTATCGAAAATATATAGGTGGTACGTGTAGAGTGGTAGTTTTAAGGCCTATGCATATCTTGGACCATGAATGCTTATTCATTCTTCCGATTTCAGATATTGATTCATGGCTACTCAAACACTGAGAAATTAGTTCCGAGAAAAGAGTYAACTAGTTTGTTGTGACTCTATTATTATGATTTCATAGCATTCTTTCTTAAAAAGAAACTAAACTTGCTATCAGTAACTCGACGAACATGTGACGAACATGTGATARGGTGTTTTCGTTTGAATCTCCATCCAACATAACTCGACCGATTAAATCACGGCAAACATCATTTATATGCTTTAGAACTTCTCGTGATTATTACTTCTTCCTGAAATAACCGATCAAATACAGAGTAAAAACCATACATACGCATTCTTAAACAACTTACTATCAGCAACTCGACATTTAGAAACCAAGTTTTCAAAAAACAACCAAGATTTGAAGGTGAATTAKCGAAAACCGAGCAAATTTAACTGCCATGATCGTCCACAACCTGACTGTTTACAAACAAACCCTCTCTTCTTTTACCAAAACCACTAGATTCAATATTCGACCCTCGATATTTCAACTCCGACCCTCTGAAATCTGGTTCCACGGATGCAGGTCTAGAGTTGTTATCAATAGAAGTTGGTCTAAACGAATTAGCAGCAGGGCCACCCACATACCGTGTTGGCGAACCATACCTTCTTGGTGGCCCTCTTATACCACCACCATTGCCGCCACCTCCACCGCCACCTATACGATCCATGATATCATGATTTCTTGAAGTGGGATCGCCAAAAGATCGCTCCCCAGAACCCGGTGGAGCTCCTTGCGTAAATGGATCATCYGGGCCCCATGAGGTCAAAGCTTCCTTCTTGTTCGCAAAGAAATGCCATGCTACGAAAAGGAAGAGGATGAAGAACAAAACTGGCGTGCTCCATAACATGGTGTTGAATTCGCCTTTTGTAACGGGAAGATTAGAACGATACATCCCGATATAACCACTTCCTAAACTCAAAATCACCAATTTGTCATGATCACTAGCGATTAATGGAATCACTTCATCTTTTTTAGCATCCAKTCTCCCCATTGCACGATAATTCAAAAAAGAAGCGATTATTTCATCAAGTCCAGCCGAAAACACAAGCCGTGGCAAACCCGCTCTCACGTAAAGCTGAGAAGAAACATTATAAACAAACACCTTCTCTTGACTAACAATAAGAAAATAGCCTTTGATTGCTTCAAAGGCTAACGGTCCACGATCTACATCAAATTTCTTCTTCGATCTTACCCTGCACTTAAAGTTCATCGAATCACCATATATCAGCAAATGCACCAATTCRCCTCCTGAAGTAAACCCGTACGCCTTCCCTCTATCCGATGCATCAAAAACATAATTCAAAGCATAAGATCCGTTAAAACCTTCACAAGGAGCTTCTCTAAGCTTCATCGTTCTTAAATCTAACGACCCTGCACCAGTTTCTGTAAGAAACAAGAGCTTTTGTTTCAAGAAAGCAAGAGGTCGGCTTTTAGGAACAATGGTGCCAATTACTGAACCTCCCTCCTTGAAAACCTTAATCGTTCCACCGATATCTATGGATACAACGTATCTTGTTCGCCCAACATGATGKATTTCCAAAATGGTGATCGCCGACCCGAGTTCTTGATCGAGTTTGTGAATAGTTTCCCTTTCAAGCAAATTCGATTCATCCCCAWTTGGGATTTCCCAAACCCTATGAACTAAAATTACACCATTTCCATGGCCTGTAACCACTATACTTTCGTTCCTAAAAACCGAAATGTAAGATAGCATGGCTGTGATTGGGGAATTCGTGAGAGTGTTGAATTGAAGCATAACTTCACCATATCTAGTGAACACGTAAAAGTTTCCAAGATCATCCCCAACTGTAATATATTTGCTTAATCCTTCAAGATCTTTAAATGGTAACACATTCAGACAAGTTGCTTTAGTATCGAGCTTCACAGCTGAAACGAATTGAAACCTTTCAGACCAAAATAAGCTATGCTTAGTAACAGAGACAGCACCCAATCTATCAAYCTTTCTATCATCTCTTACAGAACCCTCATCACCGAATCCATTTTCATCGACGTTTTTCGAGTCAGAAGTAACAGTTTCTTCATGAACAAATTTATCATCGAAACTCCTAAAYTCAGTAGGAGATTCCAATACTCTCGATTCCAATCTAGTGACCAAATCGGTGAGGTTTTTCACTAGCTCCTCGAGCTTACCTAACTGAGATATATGTTGATTCAATACGTTTACGATTTGTGTTGGATCGGCCAAGTTTGAAGGATCATCGGTGTCCGTGGAAGTGGTATTAGAAATGCAAGAAAAGTGAAAGATCAAGAGTAAATAGATACAGAAACACTTGCCTTTGATATCCATGGAACGAAAGATAGCTCCAATTGGCTCAAAGATGTTCCGCCATTAACACCACAAAGCTTTGCTGTGATCCAATCAAGAAAAGGGGTTGATTTTAGTGTTGGAAAATGGGATTTTGGAGTTGGGAGTGGATTTAGGATTAGGGCATAAATCAGATTTTTCWGGGAAAGATAGAGGAGAGAGGCTGATTCAGCGGCAGCCGCCCATGGGGCTGTTGCCTCTACAAACGTCAACTAACGGAAATTAAATTAAAAAAGTAAAAAATGTAACATTTTTGCCCAACGTTGATGAAACATATAACATTTTTTTTGTAGGCATTGGGTAAAAAACTTGTAATTATCGAATGATTTGGTGTATAATGATTAAATGGTCAGAATGATTAATAAGATTTTATGATATAATGCAAAATAAAATATAATTTTTTGGTAATTGTTTAGAATAAAAATTAGGCCGCTGAATGGTTAAAGGAGACGTAACATACAAAATCATTCAAATGGTTTTAGAACCATTAATATATAGATCATTTTTTGTCAAATAAGATTTACATCTTAACRATTGAAAAGTTGTATTTTAATGAAACTATTAAGAGGTAAAAACAACCCCTAATTATGTTAAAACTTATAAATATTTTTTCTAAGTAAAAGTGATAATAATTATATTTTTATATAAAAGTTAAATTATACTTCTAATTTTCACCTATTTCAAATATTACATGTTCGTTTGTTTTATCAACACACTTCAAATTTTGATCGTTAAAAAAATATTTTGCATAAAATAAGCTAAAAAAGATGGGTGTAGTTGGTTTTTTCCGTTTTCTGGAGCTGTTG